TAAGTTTTTTGTGTTGAGCTTAGATACTAATTCTTGATAAATTGATGCAGAAAAATAAAACAAAAAATGTCATCAATAAAGTGTTTCAATGACAACTTAAGTGCGTAGGCTAGTTTTTAGACAATGCAAACTCAAATCACAAGACCTAAAAATTTTAAAAACAACATGGATAACTCAACGACAATGCAAACTCAAACTCAAATCACTGGTTTTCTTCATTTGGTTAACCCTCATTTTGACCCTCCGCTCGCCCTCCTCCTCGTCCTTCACGACGTCCTCGACCCCTTCTTCCACCTCCTCCTTCTCCTTCTTAGAGGGCTCGCTCAACGACTTATCGCGGATTTCTCTTAACCCGAGCCCCTAGTGGAGTTACAAGTGGCGGTGGAGGGGGCTGAGATGGATCGGTAGCCTGCTGGTAGATCGGGCGGTGAGGAGTTTGTTGATGCGGGGTGTGATACATCGAACTCTGTTGCTGATGGTGGAAATGGGCAAAATTTTGTTCACTCTAAGATGAACCTCCAGCGACATCCGATGCAGGTGCCCACTCGTACTCAAATGGTTCAGGGAGCTCGGTTTCTTGAGTTGTACGCACCTCTTCGAAAGTAGGGAGAGGCCTGCGTTTGCTCCTTCGTGGGGGCTCAACCGGGGACACAATGGGCTCACCATCACGGAATGATGGGCGTGCTGGAGCGGGAATGGGAGGATAGGCCATGACATCCCTCCTTTGCTCTCGAGTACAACTCAAGAGGTTGTTCATAAGCCTTCGCAGCCAAGAATTTTTCGGCTCATCCATGCTTGGAGCACTATCGAGAGTGTGTTTGGCGTGTTCCAAACCATCAACCTAAGGAATCCACATAATAAAACAAAATTAATTAAACCTTAAAACAAAATAATTAGAATATCGCGGGAGATTAGGATCACTTACCAACGAACCCATCACAGTACCTTGCTTTGACACCCATCGATTGATGAACTTCCGATACCACTGCATGTACCTATCGTGGTAGCCCATCGGTCTGGCCTCCGGCATCCCTTGGACCACCCATGTCCTTCTATTCTCCCATATGTTGATGTAGTACTGATGCTTTAGGATCCAATTCTTTGAGGCGTGTCGGAGGTCGATGGCATGTAGCTCCCTGGAACCCTGAGGCGGGGTTTGTGGAATTGGTTGCTCCATTCGATATTGCCTCAAGGATCGATCGGGTAGGTGCCACTCCATGATGTGCCAACAGATCAATGGCACCTTGCACAACCACGTCTCGTGATCCAGAGGGTTTCTAAGATGATGCAGTTCGACCACTGCACGTGGATATGGATCCCAAGTAACCTATATTCATTCAAATAATGCAATTAGCGACCATTTACCTTGAAAAATTGAAACTTGTTAAAATATGATAAAGCATGATTACCTGATTCCACCAAGGCTTATCTAACTCAGAACGATAAAACAGTAACGAATGCTCAGGTTGATGGTCATTCGTATTTGCTCCTATCCACCTTGTAAGTAAAAGCATGGAATAAATTGAAATTAGGTTAAGTACGGATTAAATTCAATTTAAATCTAGCTAAGCATGGTATAAATTGAAATTAGGCTAAGTACGGATTAAATTCAATTTAAATCTAGCTAAGCATGGTATAAATTGAAATTAGGCTAAGTACGGATTAAATTCAATTTAAATCTAGCTAAGCATGGTATAATTTTAGAATAGGCTAAGTACGGAATAAATTCAATTGAAATCTAGCTAATCATGGAATAATTTTAAATTAAGCTAAGTACGGAATAAACCTGGGATTTTTCCAAAAGTAGCACTGTTCAAAAAAAAATTCCAAAAATAGCACCCAACTCCGAAAAATTCCAAAAATAGCACCCTTTCTGCAAAACTGCCACTCGTACCAGCGGTTTAGGCAAAAACCGCCACCCGGGGGTGCGTTTTTCGATGAAAACCGCACTAGCAGGGGGCGGTTTTACAGACCGCACCCCCACCATGCGGTTTGGTTGCAGATCGCACCCCCACCATGCGATTTGCTTTTTTTTTTTTTTTGAAAAATCCTAACCTAGGAGGAAATTTCAAACGAACGTATCTTTGTGTTCGGGTATCCGATCGTCGCGAATTTTTTTTTTGATTCCGCATAACTTTTTGAGATCTTGCAAGTCGAAGATTGCCGAAGGTGGTGTGGTCCCACCTTCGTCCCAAAAAATGTCGTTTGCTACCCCGAACGAGCTTTTTTCCGATTTCGTCAAACTTTTGACAAAAAATGTCGGCAGGGCCTGGTACTACACACAGACTGCTTTTACTGTGCATTGTGACCTAAATGTAGTGTTCTATCCTGGCGTGGGGTGGCATGTGGGCGGGTGCTGGGTGTTGCCTATTTGGAATCGGATGGGATTTGCCAACTCGGTTGTGATGGAACTCTGATTTGTTTGTTGCTGGTTCGGTTGGTGGTTGTCGACCGCGTTGGTCACCAACCAACTAGAGACCTTTATATGCCTGGGGCCTGCATAGGTGCGCGGATCGATGTTTATTCAGTTGCTTTTGGAATGTTCAGTTGGGAAAGGGTCGCAGTGGTTGGAGATGTAGCGGGTTGGGGGATGTGTCTGTTGTGTATCCGAGAGGTTGAGACAGACAGTGTTGTCTTGTTTTTGACGAAATCGGAAAAAAGCTCGTTCGGGGGTAGCAAACGACATTTTTTGGGACGAAGGTTGGACCACACCACCTTCGGCGGTCTTCGACTTGCAAGATATCGAAAAGTTATGCGGAATCAAAAAAAGAATTCGCGACGATCGGATACCCGAACACAAAGATACGTTCGTTTGAAGTTTGCACCTAGGTTAGAATTTTTCAAAAAAAAAAAAAAAGAGCAGATCGCATGGTGAGGGTGCAGTCTGCAACCAAACCGCATGGTGGGGGTGCGGTCTGTAAAACCGCCCCCTGCCAGTGCGGTTTTCATCGAAAACGCGCCCCCGGGTGGCGGTTTTCGCCTAAACCACTGGTACGGGTGGCGGTTTTGCAGAAAGGGTGCTATTTTTGGAATTTTTCGGAGTTGGGTGCTATTTTTGGAAAAAAAAAATTGAACAGTGCTACTTTTGGAAAATCCCAATAAACCTACTTGACACCGTAAGGGGGATATTGCAGAAAGTTTAGCTCATCATCGGCTCTCCGGTATGGACGTGGGTCTAGAGGTGCGAACATTGGAAGATGCTCCCATACCCACAGCTGTAAGATGATCATCGCAGCACCAGCTTGTTTTGCTCCCACCTTCGAGCAAGTGCACAGCTCCCGGTATATGCCAGCTAACACGGACGATCACGGACGATCCCCAGCTCTTTTCCCCGATTGCGTCCTAGTCACCAGTGAGCAATGGCAACCATATGCCTTGAATCCACCGGTTTGACTTGTCGGGGAACAGAAATCCACCCACCAGACCAATGAGGTAGATGCGTGCATAGCGCTCCACTTGATCTTCCGGAGTCTCGTCATTGATTTGCACCTCATTCTGGATGTGAGCTACCAGCCACGGGACCGACACTTGTCCCGCATTCAACGGTGGATGCCCCCATCCTTGAATTAGTGTGGTGGTCGGCATGTCGAATCCCAACTCAGCAAGAATGAGCGGCCCCAACCTCCTTCGGGTTTGGTAGTGGGCCCAATGATGGCATCTCCAGTAATCGGCAGCCCGGTGAGGATCGCCACGTCTTTGAGGGTGATCGTCATTTCCCCCTCCGGAAGGTGGAACGTATGGGTTTCGGGACGCCATCGCTCCGCCATTGTCGTAAGCAGATCGTTGTCGATTTTGATCCGCATGAAATGGCGCAACATACCCAACCCGGTCCTCTCTATATAGGGCGCCAACTGTGGATGCCAAGGGGGCAAGTTTGTGGTCCCTTTATGAACGACGGGAATAAGTGATTCCTTCAAAAAAATAGGAAAAACATCAATTTGTTAGTTTAAATAAAACAAAATAAAACCTTAGAAAATAATAAAATAAAGCAAATAAATCATAAAATTACCGGATTGTTATCCCAAATAGCACGGGAGCGATGAGCTTCTTGATCGGTTAAGAGTCTCATATCTCTTGGCCCATAATGGATATACAATCGAGGATCGTATATCTCGGCAACCATCTATAAAAAAAGTAATCAAATCAGAGATTGTTTTGATAAAAAAATCACAAAATCAAATTGTTACGATTAAAAATAAGAACACAAAAAAACCTACACGAAGAGCCTCTTCGTCCATTTTTTGGCAGAAGCCGGACAGAGGTTCGACGGGTTCAGGTTTGTAAGGGACGGGACCTTAGCGGGACGGGGGCTTTAGGGTCAAACTCTAGTAATTCTTTCTGATGTGGAAGATCGGATTTATCCGCAACCACAGAGCATACTTAGAACGAGACTAGAGTGGATAAATTGAGGGAGAAAGAAGTGAAATGGTTGTGGTGTGAGTTGTAAATGGGGAGCATTCACCGCCTCAGTCAGAAACGGTGAAGTGACCGCGTTTCTCAAGGACGGTGAATGGGCGCGAATCGAGCGACGTGGCTTAGCGTGAGGCGTCGGATCTGGGTAGAAAACCACGATCCGCGCCTCACCGCATCCGACGGCCACGGTGAACGAGGCAGCGACGCGGATCGCTAACGCAAACAAACATGGGGTATTCACCGTGTTTGTTTAATGCGGTGAATACACCGCGTTTGTCCACGTCAGCGATCCGCTTCGCTTCATCGTGGCCAATCACAGCGGTTTAAATGTCACCGCTTTTAATTAAAACGGTGATTGATTCACCGTTTCCGTCTAAAACGATGATTGTCTCGCTGGTTGTTTATCGTTTTAGATGAAGATGGTGAATACGTCACCGTTTTTTTTTTACGGTGAATTATTCACCGCTTTTGTCAAACACGGTGATTATATTCACTGCGTTTGTCAAAAACGGTGAATGCCAAACAGGTGTATTTTAGGAAAATTTTTTATAATTTACGTATTTTGAATTTTTTTTTTTTAAGAACATGTGTACTTTGGGATTTTTTTCGGGATTTTTTTCCGGGAGGTGCTGGAATAATATGATTTGAGATAATGTGTCCTAAAACAGTTGGAACCGTTTCAAGCTACTGTTTATTTATAGACATTTTCTAACTATCCCGCAAAATCCCATCATTCACATTTCACAGCCCCTTTACAGATGTTTACAGTTAACAGCAGGACTAAAACACAACCTGACAAAAAATACGTCCAAATCTGATTGGTGGGTGGATCATCAATTAATCTCAACGGTCCAGCCTTTCTTGTCTTCAATCACACCTCTTTGGATTCCTACCAGGGTAGAGTATAACTCCCATGTCACTGATTGAACACCAGTCTTGTATTGCACCCTGCCAAGATCCAACAAACAACCCATTATTCCATTGTCACACTTCAAGCAAAACACATTAAATACAGAGTTTCAGAAACAACCTTCGATCCTGATATGTGACGCTGCCTACAGGAGCTACAACAACAGCCGTCCCAGTGCAGAATACTTCGTCGGCACTCAGAAGCTCATCCACCGGAACAACCCGCTCTTCAACCAGGTAGCCATGGTCAAGAGCGATCTCAATGATCGACTTTCGAGTGACTCCTGCCAGAATGGTTCCCCTGGCTGCAGGAGTTGAAATAACGTTCCCCTGAAGATAAAAAGGAAACCATCAACGCACAATTATGTTCCGATTTCAGAGCGGTCCGGGAGAAAGCAACTTCAGAGATAAGATGAAAATGGGGTATGAAGTACCTTGACGATGAAAATGTTGCATGACGATACTTCCTCGAGGTTCTTCTTCTCAACTGAGTCAAGATACAGGACATCGGAGAATCCCCTGCTTTTTGCTCTGCTCATTGCTTTCAGAACCTATAGCCACAACCCTTTTCCTCGTCAAGGAAATTGAAAACTAAAACACCAATTACAGAAGCTGAAGTTTTTTTTTTTTAACAAGGATGAGTCTTACAGGGGCATAGTTGCTGATAGTTTTAACTCCTCCAGTTCCCAAACGAGCCGATCGATCGTACTCTTCCTCCACGTACAAGTTCAATGCTCCAGCTGCCTTGAAGTAGTTCCCCACAGGGGATGCATACACCAGGAATGTGTACTCCGGCGCCGGAGCCAAGCCTAATACAGGCCCAGTTCCAAGCAGCAACGGCCGAATGTACAGTGTCCCTTTCCCCGGAGGTGGCACCTGCAATGATTCAAGTGTCAATAAATCACTGCTTACGAGACAATGCAAGAGCGAAGGTTTCGATTAAATCGCATACCCAACGCTTGTTGGCGAGCGCAGTTTGTTTGACTGAATCGACGAATTGGTCGATGGAAGGGCAAGGCATGCACATTCTTTCAGCACCCATCACCATTCTCATTGCGTTTTGGTCCGGGCGGAATAGGAGTAGCCCGCCGTCCTCTTTTCTGAACGCTTTTGTGCCTTCAAACAGTCCCTGATGAGATGGTCAAATACATTTCAATTCCAATCTATTTTCTGGTGCGTAATATGAAACTGTGAACCAATCATAAGGAAATAAATAAATTTTGATTGCCTGCCCATAGTTCAAGACACCACTCGAAGGGCTAAGCTCAATGTTGCCATATGGGTTGAGTTCCCCTTTTGTAAAGTTACCATCTTCGCGACACTTCATCGTGTACATGTAATCTGTGGTGACAAGACCGAATCCCAGGTTGTCCCAATCCACGTCAGCAACACAGTCATCTTCATCACTGTCGAGGAGGTAACAGAAATTGGTTCATCACAAGAACAGTTAACGATGGAAGTATTCAGTTTCAGGTTGAAGTGATTTTCTTACCCGCTGGATGATAATGGATCAGAGATTTCCTCAACAAAAGATGCAGCCCTTGAAGTGTAGGAATGTGAGTAACTACTGCTGCGGACTCCAAACTGGAAACCACCAACCAACCAAAAATACTATTTGTCAATTTCATGGCCTGAAAACAGAGTACCCAAAACATTTGGAAGATACCAAATAAAAAAAGATCCAACCTTTGATGGAAATGATGCGACCCTGAGGGTCTGAAAGAGGCTTCGGAAGCTTTGCATATTGATTCGGATGAAGACTAATAGAATAGACTGTAGGTTAGCTTAGCTTGAGAGAAGCAGAGAAGGAGAAGTGAACACCTATAAAAGAATGGGCGGAAAGCAGAGGAACAAACACATGGTTGGTTGGGACACAGAACAGGGCACGTAGACACACATGGCTTGCCATTGCCTACATACCTTTGCATAGATGGATGGATAGAGGAAGAAGCTGGCGGAGTTGGCAATGCAAATCCTCGTTTTGCCTTTAGCGTCCAAAGCTCCACGTAAGACAGAGACAGAGAGAGATAGAAGAGCTGCTAGGCGTGAAGTGATGCTGGTCGCTTAATGCTTATCTTACTTTTGAAGATTTTTGTATAGTTGCAGCAGATTTGGCGGGTAATTTGCTTTCCCCAAATTCGACTGGGAATCAACAAGTGAACTACGTACGTAAGCCTACCATATCTCACTTCTACAAGGTTTCTATGCAAGGCTTGCAATGTTCTTTTCCTGGTAGGCAATCATTCCTTGATGGATAATGGCAAAATTACCACTACCCACTAACATACAAAGTGCATTGAACCTCACAATTGATACAACTCCATCGTTCCTTCTAACGTGTCAATGAAAGCAGCTTGTTGGAGGGAGAGAAGCTAATATACGTCTCCTGCCGCTGCCTCTATCTGGAAGAAGAGACCGTGTCAAATGGTAGAGGTCACAGCTCTTACAAACAAAACCCACCACCATCATCATAACAAGGACTGTCAAATCATATTGTGGCTAAGCCATCTAGCTGATAAGCTGATAGAGGACCGGAGCCCCAAACAGTGGGTGTTGGACTGTTGGTGGTGTTAGATTGTACTCTCACGAGTTTCCAATCTTTGGATTGAACGTGAAATCCAAGGATGAATTACACGATTGGTCACCCAAATTACATAAATATTTCACGTTTGCCACCCGAATTACAAACCTTGCTTATTGGTCACTCACTTTACGAAAAATTTCACCGTAGCCACTGGGTCCTGTTAGCATGTGGGAAGAGATTAGGAGGAAGGTTTGTAATTCGGGTGGCAAATGTGAAATATTTATGTAATTTGGGTGACCAATCGTGTAATTCACACTGAAATCCAACGACATCGGAACGTGTTCTTAAAACACGCAAACCGAGAACCCTCGTCTACCTAAGCTCTTGTGCATAATTCTTACCTCTATGAATAGAGACAGATCTAGGCAGGAGATGCCGTGTCTTTGTCAGTCCGATGGACTCTGCGACCTGAGTTCTGCGTTCTATACTTGTTTGCTTGTTTCTTTCAAATCATACTCTCCCTCTCGAGAAAGGGAATCTTTTTGTTATTGTTGATGAACTTGGAAAAAAGGGGTATCTTGAGAAGTTGCCCGGATCACTAGAAACGAATGGCCTTGAACATTCTTCCCTACACTTGGGGAAGGTGGTTTTCGTGGCCCCTCACCTTCTTGGAGGCACGCTCAAATGAGTCAAAACGTCCGAACTTTAGGAAGAAGTTTGTATGTAATAACGGCAATTTGTCAGGTCCTTACTTAAACTCCAACAGTCCAGCCCATTGTATCTTCAGTAAGTCCCATCTGTATACTTGTAAGGTCGGAAGAGAGCCGCTGGGTTACCTCGCCGGGTCCGCCAGCTCCATAGCACACCCTGGAAACCCAAAGGGAACGATCATCCTCTTTCTCAGCATCATGGTCGAAAATTCTATAAACATTAGCAGTAATGACTAATGACATCTAATGCAGGTTAAGAAAGGAGTGCTTTCTCACCTTCGACCATGGTAAGTAACGCTACCCACAGGCAACAAACCAACAGCATTTCCTGTACAGAACACTTCATCAGCTTCGACCATTTCCTCTATCGAGACAAGCCGCTCCTCCACCTGTAGATTCAAGAGCGAAGATAGACAGCACAAATGGCTTTGAGACTAGCTCATTGGATAAAACTTAAAAGACCTCAGGTGAAACTCACAAAAGGAAGGGTTGGATTATGACATACTTGAAACCCTATGGTTCTAGCCAGATCAATTGCACTTGCCCGAGTAATTCCAGGCAATATTGTCCCTCCTACTTCGGGTGTACATATTTTCTTATCCTGTGAGGTCATAGACAATGCAAGAGATTCAGTCCTACATCCATTTCTACCAAGTGAAAAAAGCAGCCAATGAGTTCAAATTCTTACCTTCACAACAAAGATGTTAGCAGTGGAGACCTCTTCTAAGTATCGGTTATGGACTGAATCGACATATAAGACATCACTGAAACCATTTTCCTTGGCAGTAGCCTGCGCCCTCAGAATCTGAAAAAATAAGGTATGGAAAAACTTGATACATAAATAGCTAGCAAATCAAGGCCATATTTGGCAAAGCCTAATAACTAAGGGGAATGAGAGAGTAGAGTTATTATCTTAGTTACTCACCCCAGCATAGTTTCCTATGGCCTTTACGTGTCCAACTCCACCTGGCACGGCACGGTGAGTTTCATCATCAACCACCAGATCAATTGGCTCCAAACCACCCTATGAAAACAGCATAATTACATACCTAAATGCTGTGATAGTGAGGGTTTTCAATTGAAAACGAAAAGAACAGAGACTTAGATCTACCTCAAAATAGTTCCTGACAGGGGTAACATAGATCAGAAAAATGAACTCAGAAGAGGGAGTGAGACTGAGTTGAGGACTAGTCCCTAATAGCAATGGACGGATGTGCAGAAAGCCTTTATCTGGAGGTGGAATCTGCAAGAAAGTTGATATTTTAGTTGCAGAGACCAATAATAATGGCCATATAGACAAAGATAGACATGTCATGAGCAGAAACAAGATAACTGTCATTACCCATCGTCGGTTTGCTGATACAGCGACTTTCACCGCCTCCACGAATTGCTCAACAGTTGGTGCAACCATGCACAGTCTATCAGCTCCAACAGCCATACGCAAGGCGTTTTGCTCTGGTCGAAACAGTAATATAGAGTCATCTGATTTCTTGTGTGCCTTCAGCCCTTCAATTATGCCCTAACAAGGAGCTTCAATTTTTTCAAAATGTTGGACAACAGAACAGGTTCTCTACTAGTGAAAAGGGAGCGGCATATAACATACGCGTTTGACGTAGATTTAATAATAACTGTTGCCAAACCTGTCCATAGTTCAACACAGAAGAGAAAGGATTGAACTCAATGTTCCCAAAAGGTAGCAACTTGCCATCTGAAAATGACCCACTTCCAGAAGGACACTTCATCACATACATATAGTCAGTTGGTAAGGGATCGAATCCGAGGTTGTCCCAGCTTGTAACTGGAATTTCAGTTGCTTCACTGCTTGTTAATCAAAGAATAAAATGAGAAAAAATTCAATCTTCATACACCAGCGATTAGAACAGAACAGAACAGAACAATTAAACCAAACCCTAAAAGCAACAATCTGGTTTCAATTGAAGCATCGATCAGAAATCTGAAATTCTCCATAGTCACTATAGCAACATACTCAGCCGACCCTGGAATGCAATGATCAATCTGAAGGTTTTCACCTTTCCTCAAATTCAGAACAAAACCCATTTTGCAAAATCTCTCAAATCTTTCAAATTCACAACCCAAAACCAATATCCAGATCAATGATCACGCAGGTCACTAGAACAACCATGAAGCACCACAAGTTAATTATCAAACAACCCAGACACTAAACAAATATTAAAAATTCTCGCAATGATGATTGCTAAACAAAATCAGTTTGCCCAAATCCTAGTAGCTTAATTTCTCACCTGCATGTGTGGGCCGGAGCAGCCTTCAGCTTCCCAGTGAAAGATTCCGTATAGCCCACTGATAAAGGAGCCAAGAACGATTGCCCTGCGTTCTTCATCTGCAATATCCACCGGGTCGAATTTAGAATCACCCAGCGATCGCTAATACTAGAATAGTCATTATTGAGCAAAAGCTGACCTTGATCGATGAAGGGCAGTTCAAGAGGCGGAGATGGTTCGTGCTACCACACGGAGAATTCGGAGGGGAAGTTATCGACAAATGTTGCGGGGAGGCCGCCGCCGACATCATCTCTTTCGCTTTTCCGGCAACCACCGAGTAAAAAGAGTAGTCCGGATTATTCTAAGAAGCGGAGAGATCAGGTGTATGGCATCCGACTGGCGGAACTGCAACTTTTGTCTCCTGGGGAATCGGATCGGCTGCATGCAAGAGGGGGCAGACTGTAGTGTTGTTTGTGATTGCCAGTTGAGCTGAAGTCTCAGTTGGCCAGTTCCTTTGAACATACGGTTCGACCGGAGTATGTGACCGGCCTCAGGGCGGATGTCCCCCCTACCAAACGCAATTGAGTCGAGTTGACTCCTAATCTGCTAATCAAGATATTTTTTTTCCTTTAACAAAGTCATTTTCGCTAAAAAGTGATAAGTGTTACAAAGTGAGTAGGGATGAAAATGGGTCGGGTTGGGGCGGGTTTTGTCAAACCCAAATCCAAATCCATGGGTTTATCTGTCAAAAAAACCCGGGGTAAAATCCGTTGGGTTTGAAAAACTCAAACCCAACCCGCTGGGTATCCGCGGGTTCATGGGTACCCATGGGGTTTTCTAGTAAAAAATTTACAATAACAAGTTTCTTTCAAAATAAAAGTTTAACATCAATTTTCACATACAAATTAATCATACAAAAAACACCAATCTAGAGCATACAAGCAAACCGCAAATGATCAATACAAATTGTTCAGAATTAAAGATAAACATCTATAAACAATAAGATTAATTGAAAGTTTCTTCCTCGTCAACTAAGTTTTTTCATTCTTCACTTCATAATATCAACTTCATTCTAAACAATTAGAAAGAACAAATTATACATGTCTTCACAAACATAAAGAATATTAGTTGTTTAAGGAAGATATATTATTTACAATATTAAATATATCGGGAAAGTAATTATATGTGTGTGGGCGGGTACCCATGGGGCGGGTTTACCTAAACCCAAATCCAACCCGACCCGATGAATAATGTAGCGGGTTTAAACCCGAACCCGGCCCAAAACCCGTCAACACGGGTTTTACCCGCGTTGACTGGATTGGGTCGGTTGGGTACACATGGATTCGGGTTTTGTTGCCATCCCTAAAAGTGAGATACACTTAATGATAAGACTACCACAAAACAAAAGACAAAAGAAAAACCACTCTATCAAGTCCAAAGTACAGCCCATGCTTAAAAAACACTCAGCCCATAAAATACAAACCGGGCCCAAGGTTCATAAGCTCAGAAATAGATCCATAGAACCTCCAAACACTAGCTATAATGCCTCCAGCGTGTGCAATGAGTGGGTTAGGTGAGTTTTGGTATTAAATTGACTCACTCGCTTACTAACGACTTGGTACAATTATAATCCACAATCCACCCGCACACTACTTCGGGTTGAATTGGATGGGTAACAGATGGGTCGTCAGTTAACTCGTAAATTCAACTTGTAATTAGGCAAGTTGGCTAACATTTATTATAATTCATAAAAAAAAAAATTAAAGAGACTGCACCAATTTAGACACCTCCTTCCAATTTGTCTCCACCGAGATGTCTAGTACTCGTATAAATCTTTCATTACTTTATTAACCAATTATGCAAAGAAAGTTCTTTTTTGTGACTTATATACAATTAATAGCAGCGTTTGTAAAACGTACTTGTTCGTCCCACAAATCCTCCTGCCCTAGGCTAAATTGATAAGTGGTTATTAGAGATAGGAAATGGTTGAACCACGGATCATAAAATATCATGCTGCTGATTTTTCCAATACACCCTTCCGTACTGTTTTATGATCCTTGATTAATAATTTATAATTAGCATATCAATGTGTAATGGACATTACACAACATAGTGATAAATAGTAGTAGCCCAAAAATATAATCTATTTTCCGCCTATAGAAATCAACGGTCAGTGTGAAATGGCGGTTAAGAAATAAGATGACTATTCATTAGCATATATAAGAAATAACTATTTTCCATGTTGTGACCCGCAACCCACCCATTACCCCACCCGATAAGAGCAGGTAGGAAATTCGTTGATCCACAACCTACCCACATCAATCATCCTATCCACTGCGGTTGGGGTTATTTGTATGTGGGTCGATGTCAACCGGTGAATTATCCATCCGCATGCCCAGCCCTAGCCTCCATACTGCATGCCTTTGTCGTCGCTAGAACCAAAGGCACTCCGATCCCACCAAACCAAGCAAAGACAGAGTCTGAGATGCTAATGCTTTACAATCCATTTGGAGAATCAGACCAAAATGAGCATGCATACGTCACACTCCTCCCCCCTCGATCCTTACCTCGTTGGACCATTAATCTCCACTAAACCTCCACATCACTGGATCAAACGCCATCTGTCGGTCACAAGAGCTAGCAAGAGAAGAAGCCTCAGAGCGATGAATGATTGGCGGTGAACCGATGGATCAATCCTTTGTCTTCTAATTTTCCAGCCGCATCTGAGTCGATTCACTTGGGAGGACTCTTGCATCTCCGAATAACCGAAATATGTCGGGTGAAGCATATAGGTAGGCGGAAGGCGTGAAAGACGAGAAAACAAGCCAACTTTGGTGCCAAATAAGCCACCCATTGCCACCATGTATATATAACTCTAGATATGAAAAACCAAACCAAAAAATAAGGAGGACATCTCTAAAAAAAGACACTGTTTGGAGAGATTGAAAGCTGAACTAGAAATAAAACATCAAGGAAAAGGGAAACGAGCAAAATAGAAACAATCAAAGGAACGAAAAGCATCCAAAAGAAAAATAAGGTATAAGGCGGGTCACCGCCAGACCTGGAGGGAAGCCGACGACAGCCCCTTTGCAGGCTTGAGTTTTGAAACCCTACAACCTAGAGAAAGGGAAAAGTTAGCAAGACGACTTGGTATGTGAAATACTAATCAAGATTAGTGATGTAAATTTGAGCGTGTCTCATTAGGTATTAACCAACTTGATTTATGTAGTGTGGAGAAGGCATGGATAATATATCACTCTCGTCCAACCATGTCCTGTTTTACTTCTCTCTCTCTCTCTCTCTCTCTCTCTATATATATATATATATATATATATATATATAGTGCCTTCTATGGTACCCCGGGTGAAATCCGGGGTATCGCATACCTTGAGTATGAAAACGCTATCTAGACCTCAAATTAGCAGGATTTTTGGGCATGATACTATACCCTAACCCTTAATGAGTGAACCCTAGGTCCTAATCATCTAAATCATAAACTAAAAACTCTAAGATGATGTATTACTTTTTTTGCCTATATTTGGACGAATCATAACCGTTGATTATTGTTTCTAATTAAATTGTTCTTGGGGTATAAGATTTAGAGAATTAAGACATAGATTTTGATCTTTATGGGTTAGAGTATAGTATAATGTCCGAAAGATCAGTCAATTCAAGTTCTAGATAGCGTTTTCTTACTTAAGGTATGCGGTACCCCGGATATATATATATCATATTGAGTTATCTTAACTCATATTTTCACTCATTGATATTTTAGATAAGTGCAAGAGTTCATCTTTCAACCAATTGGACTCAACTAATCTACGGATATATATATATCATATTGAGTTATCTTTATTATCTTTATTTTCATTTATAAACTATTTTTCTTTGTTTTATCGTCAAAAATAAATATTTTTGCAAAAAATATGTAAGGAGTCGTTATTCTCCAACGGCTAAGTGCGGATATTATTCTGCCTAACTTGCATTTGATGTGGGCCTATATGATACTCGCCTCTCCTCATTTTCATTACTAATTAAGATGTGATGACTGAGTTTCATCATATGAGGATTGGGGCCAAAATAATAATAATAATAATAATAATAATAATAATAATAATAATAATAATGGCTTGAGGCTTTTGTACGACTCACTTAAGTTTGTTGGTTTGAATGAAAAATTCAAATGATTCATTTGAGTTATTTGTGAATGGTTCATCTAGCATTAATGTTTTCTAATTTTAATTCTCCTTTTAGTTTTTTGGTTGACTTTATTAAGATAGTAACAACACAATGAAATGTTTTATATCAAGGACAAAATGCTAAATTGACTTACTTAAAAATAAATTTAGCTCTCTACAAAAAATTAGAAAACAATTCATTTACAAATGTCTAACTTGTATATTTACATTTGTCAATGTCACTATTTAATCAAATAAATTGTTTTGTAAAAAACGACGCAAAGAATGTGTGACTATCAAATATTTTCCTTCTCAACTGAAGTACATCTGTACATGCCTTTAATTTGGAACCTGATTGATTGATTCGTACATGTTAATGGGTTTGGTCATTCTCTACCTACAGGCTACAATTGGATTCACATGCTCCCACTACTAAAAGGTCCTTAAAACTTTACTGTTAACCTTCTTTTTCGTAAAAGTATCCTCATCCACATAATTAAATGGCTCAACTGCAAAGTGAAGTGGGCAGCCTTATCCTCCGGTGAAGAATCATATGCAAACCTTATTCAACAATGGAAATCCAGGCGCAGTGGAATTGGAGATACAAGCAAAGTGCAAAGAATAAGAAACACCTCCACCGCCAAGTTTGAACGGTCGCCGAATGGCAAGTCCATGTAAAAATTTGCGTGATTGAAATCGCAAGAGAAGAACAAACAGAAGGGCAAATTCATTCGATTCCATCGGACACATACATAAAAAGAATACACAGCTTGCAAATTAAGTGGGAGACAGCAGAGACAGGGGAAATGGAATCATCATCCGTCCGCGTCATTGATCACATAATAGAGCAGAGGGAGGAGGACTGTTGATCGGCGGCCGGCGGGTTGTTGGGATCGACGCCGGGCCAGGCTTTGCAGAGGCAGCGCTGAGCTTCAGGGACCTTTTGGTAAACTGACGGGACGTGCCTTCCGCATCCTCCCCAGCTCGTCTTCCCGCAACTCGCGCACTTCACCTCGTAACACATCTTCTTCTGCCACTATCTTCCTTCTTAGACCGAAACGAGCTGATTGGCTGCTGAATGTTGGAGTTTTCCAAGTCGAAGGCCCCTTCTTATAGATTCGGAGGGATAGGCTGGCGGCTTTCGTCTCCTAGTTGAGTTATATGGGCGGGAGCATTGACCAAAGGGAATAAGGCCCGGTTTCATCGTCCAAACCAGCTATCCGCCCGGCCCCTTGTTAAAACTTAAATGAATGATTTGACTTATTCAACGGAAATAGTTACAAACTACAAAGAGATGGATGGATCCGCTGGCTGGCTAGGCGGCTCTTGGTTTTGTCTCTCCGACTCTCACGTGCTTTTCTTGGAATCTCTTCCTATGTATCTAGACTAGCGTGGCCACTGCCATTCGGCTGGAGGAAGCTGAGGTATGAAATTTGATAATGTAATGAGGTGTATAGCTTATTATTGTATAGTCTTTTTGGGAAACACGTGATAAAATTAGTGAATTTAGTAGGAAAGAGACATGAATGATGCAACGAATCAACAATCCGCCTTATGAACCAAAATCAAGTACAGGTTACCTTGTGAAACAATATTGTTTCTGGTAACATGATGAGGTGAAGTAAGTTTTATAGAAACCGAATTCCAGAAAATCGAATAAAAAATCTTCTATCCCGCAGGTTTTCGGGAAATGAGCATCTCACAATCGTTGCTAGCTTTTACTCGGCCCGTTGGTCGATTAATTTGCTTTATAAAACTTTCATCTTGTCATCATTGTGCTTTCTGATTTTTTGCCAAACCAGGATAAAATCTAATGAAATCAAGAATGAACAACACGATTTGGGATAGGAACCACCATTCATGTATCCCTAGAAAATGGTGGTAAACACGGACTCAACTGCCAAACTGGTTTGGATTAAGATTTTTATCGGGTATCAGAGAACCATGTGATTATAAATTAGGCTAATCAAAACGGGCCAAAACTTGAAATTCAGCCTGTTTGACCAACCCATGCCAAACTCTAATTATTCTTTACTTTTAAACTTTCTATTTGAAAATAAAAAATAATGAAAGAAAAGAGATGACTGCAATTCGCCATTTGCACATCGCTGATTCGGGAATAAAACTTTTAAGCACTACCTCCAACCCTCACATTATTTTTAGTAGAAACAGCAGAGAACATGCAAAAACCACTCTAGGAAACCTTCTAAGAGATGCAAAAGGGTGATTTTCCATTGTAGACCGAAAGAAAGGAAAGTACACGGCTCAAAGGGGCTAACTAGGGGGTATGACACACTAGGATAGTCAATTTGGTCGTGGGCTATTCCTATGCCTCCATCATCTCAGCTAGTGACAACGTGAATGCTACACATCATGGAAGAGAGATCTATTGCACAAGAAAGAAATGAGCAGGCTCAAATCTCACATGGCTACCTATATGCTCTATCTCTCATTCTGATTCCCTGAACTAGATGCATAAACGACTGTCAAGAGCAAGTGATCAATCCAAGTCACAGTTGGTAAGCAAATAGTTGATAAACTGAACCCCTACACAACTCTACTACACATCTCAATCATTATTATAGGTTGTCCTAGTTACAATCCAGTTGTCATACATCAATTCGAAAGCCATTCGATTCACCAATCAAACCCACAGTCCCAATATGATCATGCAAACCTCAGAACTTGGAGCACTCAAATCTCAAGATTTGGACAGCGGACTAGGCTCCAAGCACACATATATAGATTCCAACCAGTACAAAGCACCCCCCGGCACTTAAGTTCGACATTGCCCTCAATGGAGCAGAGGGAAAGATAAGGGGAACGATGTTACCGGAAAGAAAGACTGCTGGGGGACTGGAAGTGGACCAGTCAGTGGGGAACATACGGAACGAAGGAACAATTCTGCACGAAGGGAACATAAAGAACACACTAGCACACTGTGAGTTATGGATCAGAGTTAGCCCAGATGGCCACAAAACGAACAATCCACAAAAGAAAGAAAAAGAAAAACACACAAAAGACTCAGTTCAAGCTCCTCACACACATGGAGCAACAAGAAAAAATCCTAAACAAAACAAAACACACTCGAAGGGTACTACTCGTCGCCAAGGTTGTCAAGGTCGATATCGTCCGTGAAGGCATCATCACTGGTTGGCGGGGGTGGAAGTGGAGATTCCTCCCAGGGGATCTGGAAATAGGCTGCCAGGCGGGTGATGAGTGGGGTGCAGTGGAGGGTCCCCAGAGTAATAACACTCTTGTCCAGAGTCATTGCCACCACAGACCCCAAGTGGAGATCATGGTTCGCCATGGGGATGGAGTAGATGAAGTACATGGAACGCCTGGTCAGGGTGCTGGCACTTTCCCCAGCTAAAGTGAAGGACTTAGCTAGCATGTGGTGGAGAATGCGGTTATCGAGCTGCAAGGTGCTAGCCTTCGCCCGCCCTGCATGGAAGGGGACCTGACCGGGCTGAGCTAGCCGGGTGTACAACACCTTGAAGTTACCACCGTCCAAATTATTGAGCTCGGTGACATAATCCTCGTCATCGTCCATGTTGAGGTCGAGAGCGACCTCCAAATCATGGTAGCTCATGGAACGGGGCTCACCGCCTAGCCTGAACTTGACGGCTTTGCTGTCCGCCCAGTCGGTTGTCTCTTCGTGCCGAAAAGTCGTGTAGACCTTCTCGCGAATAGATAACAGTCGGCGCCATGTGCGGTTGGCAGCTATAGCGAGGAAGTGCTCGTAGCAATGCAGCTTCTCAAACTCCCTCCTGGACCAATAGTGATGCTTCCCAAACTTAGATGCTAGGACGCGCTTAAAGCGATCCTTGTGGGGGCCCCTCTTCAAATCGCGGATGAACCGATGCTTGAGATCAGGCTTCGACATGGTCTTGCAAGAAATCAAACCAAAGTGGAGCCAACAGAGCCATAGAAACGGTCAATCACACCCCACACTTGATAACAGAAAACAGCCAAACCATAATTTCATCCAAAGTTCGGGGGTTAATAACTCGAGCAAACAAGCACAATCTGGGTGGGGTGCACATCCACAACAAAGTAGGCAACTTCTGGTTCACATCCGTATCAAATACACCATCAAAATACATCATTAAGGGCCCCAACCGGCTCCCACAACATGCTATGAAAAGTTGGCATTTCATCAAACACCTTGTGTGCACTTTTAAGTTAAGCATAAAATGGGCAAATTCCTAGCACACAATAGCTCAATCAAGCAAGGGAAACATTGCCCAACACAATCCACATATAATCCAAGCCTTTCCCTCAATCAATTTCAATTAATTCACACATTTCAAAGCGGTTCTCTAAAAGTACACCCTAACACCCAATTCTCCACAATTCACAAGGTAAAGGGCAAAATCAAACCTGGAGATACAAGTAGAGGTGTAGGGGATGATGAGGAGAAGGCAATGGAAGCAACGAAAGCCCAAAATTCGACCCGAAAATGCTCGTCGAAGCCTCGTCGGAAATCGCCTCCGGCGACCAAAATCCGATCCAAATCGCCTGAAGATGAAGGGATGGGCCGAAAAAGAGGGGATGAGATAGAATATGATGTTGGTTTTGTGAAAAACCGACCAAAAATGGTTGGAAAATCGCAAAAAATTTGAATATGCTCGGTTTTCCGGCGAGGGGAGAGGATTCCGGCGAGGGAAGGTGAGTTTCCTGGCCAACGCGCCCGTGCAGGCCAAATTTATAGGCGCGCAGGTCGTGACACGAGCAGGCCACACGGCCGCGTGGAGCGGGTTTTTGCCCGTGTGGCGCCGAGGAATCCACACGGGCTGGCCGAGAGATTCACACAGCCGTGAAGCGGTCCCCAGTTGCCCGTGTGGGATTTCCAGGGGCTTCACACGGCCAAAAGGGAAATCCACACGACCGTGCAGAATTTAGGCCTGGCCGTGTGGAATTCTAGAACCACGGTTTCAACCTGTTTTCGCGCAAAATTGGCATCCGTACCTTGGACAACACCTCAAGACTCAAAAAAAAAAAAAAACTAAAAAGAAAAAGGAAAGGAAATGTAAACCTAGTTGGGGTTTCCTCCCCACAAGCGCTTCTTTACCGTCTTTTAGCTGGACGCCAGTAGGGTGGATGCTCAGAGAGGTGTAGGAACAGGTGCCTCCAAGAGCGGATCCACATCGCTCTTGAGGTACATCTTCAGATGGTGGCCATGCACACTACGAGTGTAACCACCAGCACTCGTCAACTCGACCTGGCCATTCGGCAGGATGCAAGCGAGTGAATACTCGGATGGCCAAGGCGGCCGAGGCTCAGGAGGCGGAACCAGCTCATAGTGGTCTCCAGCTTTCTTTTGAGTAGGCTTAGCTACGTGCAGTTTCGGCCGCCACTCTTCCTTGATCATTTTTTTGGCAATGGAGTGGACGGGAGTGGCGGCGAAGATATGGGAGGGGGACCCTGCAAAATGGGAGCCACAGAGGAATACACAACATTCTCGTGCTCCTGGTGAGAAACAACATGCAAAGGCGATGAAGTAGGGAGAGTATTAGCAATGGAAAATGTTATTCGCTCCTCGCCATCCCTAAAGACTAAGGTCCCATCATGTACATCTATGAGAGCCTTGGCGGTAGCCAGGAAAGGCCTTCCTAGTATAAGGGGCACTTCTGCGTCTTCATTGATGTCCAAGACAACAAAATCCATAGGAAAAAGAATCTGCCCACCTTAACTAGAAGGTCTTCCACTATGCCCCTAGGATGGACTACAGATCCGTCAGCTAATTGAATACTCATCCTTGTTGCACTGGGTTCACCTAGGCCTAGTTTCTTGAACAATTTATACGGTATCACATTAATACTAGCACCTAGATCCTCCAATGACCTCTATACATGCAATTTACCAATAGAGCATGGGATAGTAAAACTACTTGGGTCCTTTTGTCGGCGGAAGCTTGTTCTGCAGAATGGTCGAGCACTCTTCGCTGCGCTCCACAGTGGCCAGCTCGCTCAGCCTCCGTTTCTTCGAGAGAAGCTCCTTCAGCAACTTCGCATACTTAGGCATATGAGATAGTGCCTCCATGAAGGACACTTGATCATGCAGCTTCCTAAGCATGGACGAGAAGTTGCCGAACTCTGCCTCTAGCCTCTCTTTGTACATCCTGGTGGGAAAAGGGAGCTTAGGCTTATATTCAGCCACTATTGGTTGTGGCTTTGGAGCTTTAGCCTCTGGCTCCTTTTCCATCACCAGGTCTTCTTCCGGC